TAAAAAACGTTTATAGAAGGCTATGTTGGGAATATATATTTTAATGAAAAAAAAATGCAAAAAAGTGGATCGCCCCCGGGTGGGCTCGAACCACCAACCTTTCGGTTAACAGCCGAACGCGCTAACCATTGCGCCACGGAGGCTTGTTAAACATTGATGGATTTCAAAATTATTTAACTGGACTATACGTATTCAATTGATATATACGATTTATTTTATTATTAATTCATCGCAACGTTTACGTGTAAACAATTGAAAAAATAAATACTTTCCCTTTTTGTCGTTAATCACACTTGTTTATCACAAGTTGATGTGGTTGATATGAAAGCATAATATCCACATAAAAATATCACACCGTTTGTACAGTTAGGTACAACCTTTTAGTTTTTATAACGTGCATGTAGTTGCACACAAAAACGAATTTAATAAATTATTCCGTTCACGTGTTACGCAAACAATTCTAAAGAATGCTTGACAAAAATACGACGTAAAAGCTTGCATCAGAAATTACCTATATCTTCATTAATAAAATACGATCATTGTTGTCAAACGGCATAGTTTAAACAGCACCAAATTTTGATCTAAAAAACTGCTCGTAAGTTAGGCAACATGGAATGAATGCCGTTAGAACTTTGTATTTAAAAAATAAAAACAACACATTGTCTTAGCATAAAGAAACTCGAAATAATCTTGCGCCATACAGATGAATAATTTATCCGTCTATACATAATCGACTGATTCTCATTACACGACAAAAAAAAAAAAAAAAACGGTAGAAATGTATGTGCCCAATTATAATATACGAAACTTTAATGGTAAACAGATGCATCTTAGAACTTTATCGTGGTGTGACGTCTGTTGAATGTTACACAGTAGGTATACGTATAATAACCAAGACAACAATAATATTAAGGATTAAAAAAGCCGAAACAACAATTGTTTGTTGTGCATCCTTTCCGCTCCACTAACTTTAGTGTCGTGTTGAATAGATACATGCTTTTCTAAATCATTGATAAATTGCTGCATAATATATTGCATAATCGCATTTGAAGAACCATATTCGAATCAGAATTCAGTAGGCATTTATCAGTACCTATGAAGTTTATACGATTTAAAATGTGTAAGAGGCATTTTAATAGATTGTGAAAAAATGTCCTCGCGTGCCATAGGTAGCTAAAAAAAATCGCTTGTTTTATCAGCAAAACTCTCATTTCAGTTAATGGTCATATAATGGAAAATTAAGAAAACGTTAGAAAAAAAAATGAATATTATTATAATGATTATATATTAATTTTTATTTATTTTATAACCATTTCCTACCAATACGTTTAGTTAAACATTGGTTTATGTCTGCAACTCACGTTAAACCACAAAATGACACAAAATTATTTATTAATACTATGACTTATAAAATCAATAAACTCATGAATAATATATTAAAGTAAGTAGCCTAATATCAACACATTTGCGCTGTTTTAAAAAATTCAAACCGAGTAAACAAACACCGAAACATGGTCGAAATAAGAAAATAAATTTTTTCACGTTTCTCAGAACACGAACGCTAAAAATGCATGCCTATAATACCCGGACTCGGAGTCTATTGGAGGTAATTAAGTTTTTGTTTTTCTTAGCCACAATGACTCAATGTATACGATAACCAGTGAACTACGGCAACAACATCGCACATTGGATTTTTCAAACATCTCGAGTTCGTTTCTCTCAGAGTACTCGGTGTTTTTTCTGGTGAATAGAAAATTCTAACGAATTTACAATGATGTTTATTTTTCGAATAGAATATTTGTAACCAAGTGTTTTATTTAGATTCTCGCAAAATTAAAATTGAGTAAAAAGTTTATTTTTCTATGTTTTTTAAGTTTTTCCATTACTGTAGAACTTTAGAAAAAAAACATTGAAATAATGTAACATTTCTTCCATCGGGTTTTTATTACTTTCAATAAAATTAAAAATTAATAATTTATGAGATGAAAATGTAATGAGAGACTCACCATTTTCATTGCTAAGAAATCAATAACTTTGGTTTCGTAATTTTTTTTTGTTCAGATCACAATGGAGAATTTTCTGTTTTTGGAAGTCACTGTTTTTGTTGACAATTTAGCCATTATTTGTTTTTTTCTTATATTTAATAAAACACATTTCCAGTGTTGAGATAAGTAAATACTTCAGTGTTAAATCTTCACCAAAATCCTAAAAATATTCAATACTAATCTATTTTATGCCTTTCCCTTTGCCCGAAGCTGTTTATCCAATGCGATGTATCATAATAATTTATACCGCAACACATTTAACGTAAGATTTTTTCAGAATTATAATTTTTAAATCCACTGTCTCAGTTTTAAGCTCAGCAATATCCCCATTTGTCCATGTGTATCTGTACGTGAGCCTATAACAACCGTACGTTTCCAACTTTCTAACTTAAGAACAATGATGAATAAATATTGACAAATTTCTAGTGCCGGAGTGTATACCTGTATATCGTTTGTTATATATGAAAACATTTTACACCAACGAAACATTTGACTTGATTCTATTACTATAATTAACAATAATAAATGGTAATTTCTTCGAAATTTCTATGCGATGTGCTGCGAAGTCGGTGTGTTTTAGAAATGAGTCAACATTAACAGTAATAATTTCCCACTTAGACGTTATCAAAGGCGTTCGGTGAACACAACACCGCAGAATACTAAGTATAGCAGGTCGGGTCTTTCTTTGGTCCAAGGACAAAATGTAATTTAAATAGATACTGTATATTATATAATGCCCATTGGAATCTGTGCGTTTCCTTCAATAATATCTCAGAAATCAATAATATCCTTGTAACGCAATTAAATGGCCAACACTAATAATATTTTATTGTGCGCAATTTATGTTTGATTTATTAGAAACTAATGAAGTTTGTAATCAAAGGAGTGTGACCTCGAAGACTATTATCATTGAAATTGTAAATCGTAAAAGTTATAAAACATTTTTTATGTCGATACACGATGTTAAGTTTATCGGTTATGTGATTCAATAAAATTTGAAATACAACCTAGGGCAATCTTTACAAAATAATAATAATAATAATAATAATATTTATAATTTTAGTTTTTTTTAGTACATTATTGTAAATAATAATCGAAAAATAAAATTTTTATCGGGTATGTGTAATTAATTAATTTACCATTATCAATGTTTTTTTATGAGTCTATTAACACTATTTTGACTTGAAGAAGATCCGATAATTACAATATTTTTAGATTGCTAATAGGAAATTTTGTCTAGTTGATACTCTAAGGTAAGGTTTTCCAACCCATGGGTCACAAAATATTTTTGATGAGTCGATGTTCGTAAACTAATGACAAGAAAAATATTTTGGTTGTCAAAATATCATTATATTTATTAGATTTAAGTTTGGCAATATTAAAAAAAAAATGATTAGTAATGTTATTATATTAAAAAAGCATAGTAGGTTTTTTTTCTGGAGGGTCATCTACTCAATACAAAGGATATTTTTGGGTCACCTTATGGTCTCCTTATGGTTAGGAAACACTGTTCTAAGGGGTATTATTTTCCGAATTTTTCAACAGTTTTCTTAATAATTGTGAAAAGTTGACGAAAAATTATAAAAATACAACAACATTTACGACACACCGGTTGTTTTTGACAAATTTAAAATTTTGTTTTTATTGTAACTCAAAAAATAATCATTACAGGGACATAACATTTTCACTAAAAACTTAAATGATTATTTGCTATAAATATTATAATTTTTTAAAGATTTTTATTTTTATTTTTTTTTTTGGGCGTATGTATAGAAAAATAAAATGTTCGAGTTTTTATAGAATTTATTTGAAAATGTCTGTTGATATAATAATGTTGGCTTAATAAAAAGCCTTTAAAATATAATACAAAGTTTCTGAAATATTTATACATAATCAATTAAAAAAAAAAATTAAACTTGATTTAAAAAAAAAATAATTTACAAGCTTTAAAATATTAAATTTTAATCATACGAAAAAGATTAAAAGTCACGAAAATCCTATACATTTTTGTAGTCAACAATTCATAGAATTTCCAATTTTATAATTAAGGCTTAAAAATAGAAAACAAATTTTTTTATTGGAAAGTCATAAAAATTATTTATAAATGTTACAAAATGGAATTTCGATGAAATTGGATGTTTCAACAAATTTTCATTAAACAGTATTAGTTATTTATTTCATTATTTCGAACTATTTGAATACATTTTTTGCTGTTTAAAGGCACTTTAAATTTTCAATATTCCCAAATTTAAGTGCTTTTTTTGTGCAAATGTGAATATAAAAAGTTTAATTTACTTTTTTAGAAATTTAGTTCTACTATATCAGCCATCTTCAGAAGGATAATCTGATCCACCTAACTTCTTCGCTCAGGATCGATTTTTTTAAATCAATAATACATTGATTTTAAATTTCAAAAAAAGCAATACAGTAATACCATTTATCCCTATATCTCACTTGCTCGAGGTATTTCATTAAACATAAGAATTTCACTGTTTTTTACTTATAATTACATATTTATAAATTAAAGGTTTCAAAATACAAAATTATATCGTTTACATATCTTATTCATAGAGAACGATTTAATGGATTAACGATTTTAAAAATATTAAATTCTAAACAAGGTATTGGTGTAACCTAACAAAAATACTATTGAATTACATGTGAGTTTGAAAAAAAATAATCTATTTTAATATTATATAAAACCCTAAATCAGATTATTTAAAATTGTATAACTTATGTCTGACCCATATACATATGAACTACTCGTTAATTATAATTTTCATAATAAGATTAAATACCTATATAAAAAACACACATCATAGTTATTTCAATATAATCTTTCCGATCAGAATCGAAAATTATATTTATTTTAATTTAATTAATATTTAGTAGTTGAATTTAAGTGAATAATTCTTATAGAATATGATGAATCGTTTGATGAAAAGTTAAAATGTTTTAAATAATTGATTCTGTAATTGTCGATATAGTATCTACCACTGCATTAGGATGTTTGAGCGGCATCAACGTATTATGCGTGGTCATTAGACTATAATTGTTCCCATTAACTTTATCATCCCGAAATATGTCGTCCTCTGGTTCCTCGGCGTATTTATCATTTATTATTTTTCTTGTAACCATTAACTTTAATAAACAGTTAGCCATTTTGATACAATCCGTGTTCCAATGGACTTGCTCCACCTAAACGTAGTTTATATTTATACAATTATTTTCGAAATGTTTAAGTGCCTGTCGTACATTTTGCTTAATTATATCTAACGACTCTTTTTTAATGTAATCATTGAACAATTTTACAAACTGTTGTTACAAATTGTATTTATTTGTGTACACATTTTACAAAAAAAAAAAAAAGTATATTATAAAAGCCGATTGGCATTATTTAATAGAAAAGAATAATAAAAATTATGTAAATTTCAATATTTTTTTAATTCAGTGACTCTTTTACTGTTGTTGATATGAAATCATTTTTTTTTCACATGATGCGACCCTAAATGAATTGTTGGCGACCCCCAAGGAGAATCGCCGTTTTAGAGCATAAAAGAAATAATTTACACGTTTATATTCATCACCTTTTTTAAATTGGCAACAACGATTTTGATAACGTCCGGCCGGGTTTTCCATAGCTTAATGTTTTCATGTAAAATTCGGTTCCAAAAGTTTATTGACAAATCAGCCAAATTAAAATCGTCGTTGCTAAACAATTTGGATAGATGTCCGACGATCTGCACCTGCAACTGTATCCATTGGTCTCTATCGCACCACTCGTATAGTTCCATCATTGTATGCAACAAAACAATGGTTTTCAGATGTTGGCACGACCATAGTTTTTTGATGAACATTAACATCTGAGGGATCAGATCTTTATAGTCATTTTTCAAAGCTCTTGCACACTCAACGAGCTTCGACTTGAATGATGACAACGATTGGTGTTTGAGTAAGCATACCAAAACCCTTGGCAGCTGTATTTCATGACAGAAAACAAATAAATCATTATTTTTCAACGCGTTATTATTTTTTGTTTTTTTTTTTTTTTAACTACCAATCGGATAATTTTTTTAAGTGAATTGACTTGACGTGAAATTAATTCTCATACGTTTCTATACAAACGAGTTCAACCAAATATTCATAAGTAATATATGAAAAAAGAACTTTTTATTTTGAAATAAATCAAATCCATACAATTATAGTCATCGTTTATTCTTGTGGTCACCGTTCGGATATTAATATGATGTTTACCTTTAATTATTATAGATGACGATGTGATGTTATATTAATCGTTGATGTCGGAAAAACAAAACGTGAAGCAGAAATAAAATAATATTTAGGAACTGGATGTTATGAATTTTGCAATTCTTTTAAGTTGTAATATTGTGCTCTGAAATTAAAAATTTTTTTTTTCCAATATCTATTTATATATATATATATATAGTTTTGTAACAGTATAATAATTGATATGTTGTTAAATAAATAAGAGAAAAATAATTTACGTATAATATCGAAATATGAAAATCGAAAACATGTTGCTTATAAATATTTTAAGTGTGTGAGGGCATTAACTGGCGCCGAATAATTAGCGTCAATTGGATATTATAAACATAACCAATACAATATTATGGTCAACAGTTAGATTGGTATTGAAGAAAATACGTATTTAATAACATTATTATGACTTAATAGTATTCGTTGTAGTGAGAATATAATTTTAGATAAGCGGTGAGTAGGAAAAAAGAGGAAAATACCGTTTTAACGATAAAAAAGTTAAAAAATCGTATTTTTTAGTTTATTCTGGTGAGAAAGATACGCTGTTTACGAAAAAAAATTAGACATTTTTATCTAATAGTCAAACAACAATCGTTCCGAAAAACAATTCCAGATAAACGATAATTGCGAGAGAATCGCACGCGATTAAAATTTCTATTGAAGATGTAAACTTTCGCGGTCCCAAAACGATCGATCGTGTCGCCCAATATTGTTATGTGTCTGTGCGGCAAGATCATTGAATAAAGGGTCCAGCTGGTGTGAAATTTACCATCGAAATAACGTGAACGTGCGGGCAAGATGTTGTACGGCAACATGTTTTTGTCGGGTTACGGTCGAATTCGAGTCAATCGGAAATGAACGAAGTTATTGTCGGACCCATTGCAACATCGCATGTCGATTTTTGTTCAATTTTACGTGAAACTAAAAGTACACCGAACACACCGATAGGAACCCAAAGAACGATGAGCGTAAGGTATTGATTGGGAAGTATAAAGAGGTTTCCCAAACATTTCAATGATTGATCTCGGTCAACCGTAATTTCAGTCCGGGTATTGCGCGATACAATCGATCGCGTATAGAAGCGGTTGCGCAACCCGGGAGGGTCGCTAATGATCGAACAACGAATGAAAAAGTTACAATTCATGTACGTTGTTTCGTACAACTTTATGTGTAGATTTATAAAATTCTAATTTTGTATTTTCATTTTATGTTTTGGATCGATTAAATTTAAAAGAAACATTAAAACCGCTTAAAATTGACCGTTTGATTTACACGATTAAAACGTTCACAGGCATTAACCATGCACTGAGTTGGTAGGAAGTGCACCACATCGATCTAAATCAGTTCGACCGAAAACGGTTGCCGGGGACGGGGACCGGTGACGAGCGGCGTTATACGTAACCTTGGGGACTGCCGCGTGGCCGGCGGTGCCGGCGGTGACGGCGAAGAAGTCGAGCAGCTCGTTGACGCCGTTGTGCCGCGGCACGTAGCCGTACGCGAAGTCGGCCAGCTCGTCGGCGGCCGCGCGAAACATGGTGGACCGCGCGGCCGGGCACGTCGTCCACACGCGTTCCGCGATGTCGCGCACCGTCAGCCGCTCGTCCGCGTCGCCCGAGTTCAACCGGTGCACCAGCCCGTTGACGAACCGCCGGTTCAGGTACGGTTGCGCCCTGTCCGCGTCGAACATCACGCGGTCCACGAACGCCCGGAACACCTGGTACACCAGCACCGTCTGCGTGGCCTCCAGCACCTCGTCGGCCGTCGGCTCGCCGACCACCACCGCGGTCCCGATGCCGCCGCGACCCGCGGCCACCTCTTCGTCCGTGTCCGCGTACGAGGACGGCGGAAGCGGCCGGAACACGTTGGCCGCGAACATTTCGGTCACGAACCCGTACACGTCCGCCGAGTAGTCTGCGGGGCAACGGACTCCGTAGTCGCATATCATGTGGTGTTACGGTGATGGGAGGGAGGAGTGGTCGGACGATAACCACGCGAGACAGGTAAAGATCGTACGTGTACCGGTCTAGTCAGAGGTGTATAGGTAAGTTTGGATATACGCTTCTAAAATAACTTGAAAACAAAAAAAAAAAAAATATATAATAATTTAACATCATTGGAAAAAATTGTTATGAAACATGAAATCGAATGAAATCTGTTGAATATTGCAATGTACGCTTTGATAAATATGTATTTTGTTGAATGTAGTGAATAAAATAATATGTAATGATTAGATTGGAAATCATAAAAATGTAGGTACAAAGGATTAAATACATTTTTTCGATCGAGAAAAAATTTGTCTACCGAAGCGAGTACATTTATTTAAGGACTAATATCCATATTTTTTTAGTGCGTATACCCACAAATATATTTACCAATGCACCACTGCATCAAGTGATTAACTGCGATTTAAAGCGATTTGCCTGTTATTCACTCGATCGCGCACGGATCGCCATCCGAACAGGTCAAATCGCTTTTCGCAGACCGTAGTACGGCTAAGTATAAAGCGAGCGCGGTTTACCAGGTATCAGGCTCGTTCATTCCGTCATAGTTCTGGACGGTCCATTCGAGATCTCGTGATCAAAATTAATAACTATTAAGAAACCAATCGACTGGTTTTTAATGATTTCACGCTTTTAAGCATCTGATGAACTATCAACGGCATATTCAAATTACGATCAAATGTGTTGCAGCCCCATGCGCATAAAACATTTGAAAGGACCCGGTGCATGTACTATCTTTTGAGCCCGTATCGAAATCATGAAATGTTTTAATGGTGAAAACAATAATTCCGAATTATTTATACGTTCATTTATTACGAGTTAATTGTTTTGCACGTAATTTTATTTTTTATGAGATTCGAGTCTTTAACGCACTTTAAAATGTATGAAGATTATTTAGTTTTTGCGTTTTTATCGCAAACGTCATATGCACGACCTTTTGGTAACTAAAATAATTTACCTTCGTCGGTGTCGGTGCTCCACATGACGTACAATTCATTTAAGTTAAACAACTTTTCGGAGAGACGAACATCTTTCGCCAATAAAAATATCGAACATTCTTTTAACAATTTCATTACGAAACTGTTGTTCATCTTACGGTCTAACGGTTCGTCCATTATTCTTCATAAGTCAATGAGACATACCACAAAGAAAACAAATAAATAATAGTTATAACGAAAACAATCTAATGGTGAATATCAATATTGATTACGTCGTAACAACTTTAAAAGATTGAGTGTGTTGCATAGAGGCTGTGGGCCAGATAATTAAGTTGAATATTATATGTTTTACTCTTTAAAAACATAACACCTTATATTATCGTCGATTGAAACAAGTTTCCAAAATCGAGTATTCGTCAAAAAACGCGCAGAACCATTCACGTGCTGACGTACGAGTTTCGTACGTAAACATTTGCTCGGATTGAAACATGAAAACATTCTATCCGTCGTTGAAAATACTACCCTAACCAGACATTGAAATTCGAATACTAACTTTTGTCTTACAGTATTGTTTGCATAATTTAGACAACTGCGAACCATTATTGCGTTCAAGCCTACACACGCGTGCGTCGTCATCCGGTTAACGGCACCACGCGCGTATTATTTACACACATTCGCGTGGATGTAAATAAAATACACATCCACAAGAGGAAATTGACATAGTTTGATGGTGAATCGTACACGAACACGCGTCGAGAACGTTTGACGAGCACAGTATTATTGAAATCTTCAAAGTTAATTTTCAAGGATCGAAAACTATGTCGGATGACTAATTCTCGGTAATTCGGATTGTTACTAAAGTGCCGCACCCCCTCCTCTCCCATGTTCGTTGTAATCGAAGATAGTTTTGTTGTTCGTCTCCATCAGGCTTATCTTTTCTCAAATAATTCAATAGCAATAATAAATGCTCGAAAGACAATCAGTACAGGTACAGTTATTTGAAAATCTATTGCATCGTCGCGCAGAGTCATCAGAATCGATTCCGTCTCACCGGTTCGCGATACATATGCACGTCGTCGTGCGAAGGATAAATATTGAACCAACGGATGATTTCGTTCCACTTGACCGAGAACAGTTGTTTCGCTGTCGATAACGCAGCAGAAAATAAAAATAAGACCGTCGGTCGAACGACCATTTCACGAAACGTATAATTAATGACGACGCTTTTCGTTGCGAAACCAAAAACGTCATTGCCGTTTACAGAAGCCGTCAACGATTGGAAAATAATTTAAATTAAAAATTATTAAATGGTCAACAATATTAACATTACTAAGACAGAGGACTTGTAGCATTTATTTATTTGTTTTGCACAATCACAAAAATAGTAGTATTCGAAACAAATATGTTTCATACTTTTGCAATTTTAGTCTTGAAATTTTATTTTGCATAAAAATTTATATTTCGAGTTTTTTTTTCATTTTAAGGTCGTCTTTCTTTCATTTTATACTTTTAGATTTATATTTCAGATAATTTATAATTTCATCAACACTTTTTTGACGACGTTCTTATTTCATCTCATATACGATATATTGTCGAATTAAAAATAATTTTAAATTTTAACCGTTTAATATGGTTGTTGACTGTTCGCAGACGCTTGTTTCTCCTAGAAATACGTCTCCAGGACCGGCTATTAATTTATTTATAAGCCGTAAACACGTAGCTTACATCATACATTTTCCGATAGGACGTTAACGATTTCCTAAACCAAAAAAATACATTGCACTGACTTGTCAGCAGTGTTCGTAAATTATTTAATATTATAGGAATTCAGTCTTAGTTCTGCAGTCTGTGTATTTGCATCTATTCTTAATTTTTGTCAACATTTCGTCTTTGTGTAAGGTTTTAACATTAAAATGTCTGAAGCTAAGCAGTCTTTTAACAGTTGGTTACAGACTTATTTATCGGAATTTGGTGTCAATGTACTTTGAATAGACAGTTAAGTCCTATACTGTAAGCACTTTGATGTTAAAGTAGGATGTGAAAAACGATTTAATGTTACGCAAGATTTAAATGATTTATAAATCTTATAAATAAATCGCTTTAAAAAAAATATAAGTTCATATTTTTAGCACATATTATAGAGTTTTTAAGTGCATAAGTGCTTGCATATTTTGTGTTTGCTTAGAGCTGAAATTCCTCTGCCCTACTTATTACCTATTATTTTATATGACTCCATTGTTTGTAAACAGTAAAAGATTTAAAAGAGTTATAAAAGATTAATGATTTATGATTGAAAAATTAATATTTTTAGGCAGTATATTGCCTTGGCCATCTACCTAGCATGATGGGAAGCACCTGGAATACAAAATGATATTCCACGATGTGGAGTTCCTCCGAGAAAAATAATCGTAAGTTCTAGAAGTTCCCTGTAATCTTCTCGAAATCGTTCTTTTTTCGAATGATCGAGAACAAACTGAAGCACATCATTTTTTGTGTGTGATAAAGCCATACAAATATTACTGTCTTCAATACCCGAATTATAATTACTAGTATTTATTTGCTCCAGTATGCTTGGAATTTTTTAAAAAGTGGAATATTGGGTCCTGTAATAATGCCAAATTTTTCTTCAAAGACACACCTTAACACCAATTCATAGATATGATGACGGCACATGAAATATAACATTCGAAAACTATGTATTGTCGCAGTACCCAGCGTATTAACTATACATATTACAAAAAACGCGTGCAGGTCAACGTCGTGATAACTCGTGTAGGTATCATGTCTGCGCAAGTTTAGGCATGTTAGAACATGTTTAATTAATATTGTATAGCTTAACAATTGTGTGTTAATTTGTAGCGTGAGTTTTAACAATGTTAACAGTGGATAATTTAATAGCTACTAGAAAATTGTTTATGTAGTTATGTTGTTGGTTTTCTTGGTACAAAGTATATTATGTACAATTGTACAAACTGAACATGTAAAATATAACAAAAATTGAGTTTTTTTATTTTGTGATTGAATGAGTAGTTGCATGAAAAAAGTACAAGTAACATTTATTATAGTATATTTAATTTAAAAAATATTTTATTCTTATACTTTTTGGCTTATCTTAAATATTTAAGGCTGAAATTACAAAAATCGAAAAACCCACCCTTCTTTGAACTTTAACCCTTTTGAGGCACGCCTTAGGGTTAAACAATTACTACAAAACTTTAGACAATTTATTTTTTTATGGTTTTAAACAAATTCCATGGGTAGCCCGATCAAAATTATACATATATATATATATATCAAAATTATATATATATACATAAGAAAAAACATAGTGAAGCCCTAAATAAAAAAAGGAAGTGATTTCGGGAGCCCCCAGTATCCTCTCCTTGCTATTGCAATGGTATAAACATTATAATTGGTCCACGTAAGAAGGGCCAACACCACCGAGTCCTTGTATAATCTTCGCCTGCAATGGAACAGAAACTAATTTAATTGCGTTTCACTTGCCCGCAAATGTACAATGTATACTTTTTGTACTGTCGGTTGACGAGCGTTTTACGAAAGTCCAGTGCAGGTATAGCCAACCCGCGGCCCACGGGCCGCATGAGGCCCACCTTGGAAAGTTTTGCGGCCCGCGACATTTATCAAATATTTACAAAAAAAAAATTATTTTTGCGCCGATAGAATATTCTGGAAAGCCTGCGCAACGCGGTATCTATATTATTAACAACGTAATCGCAACAAAAGTAATAATTCTAATCTAATCTGATAGAAATATAAAAATATGTAATTATATTAATATTTTGGCTGATGACCTTTTTTCGGCAACCCTATATGTGGCCCGCAGGATTGTAATGTATTTACAAAGTGGCCCGCAAGATCATTTGGATTGGCTATCCCTGGTCCAGTGTGTCGTTAGCAATTGACAACCTGAGCATGACCATGTTTTATATTTTATTTACGCGCGCACACGAACCGACGTTACCGTCGTGACGCTCCGCGGTATAGGTGACACAATACGTCAACATCTATAATATGCATTCTAGGATATGATAAAAAAAATGTCAATAATATTTTCATTTCACTCCCCAAAACAGAGTGTATACATATTGGAATGAACTACGTAAAATATTTGATCAATCGGACAATGTTAATCCGTGCTTATTTAATAAAATTTCAATTTTTTTTTAAATGTTTTTATTTTTTCACAAAATATTGACAAAATTATTTTTTGAATGATTCAGTATTGATAAAAATTTTATACTTAATGAACCGGAGGAACGGGTAAATACCACTGCGTATAATTTTGGAGCAAATTTTATAGCCCAAAAAATTGTATTAATGGTACAGCAGAAAGAGACATGAAGTAGGTGCGTTACCCCAGCACCCGCACTTTCGAAATCATGAATTTTAATCAAGCAGTATTATGTACTTTATTTTGTACAATTTTGTACAACCAAAATTAAATTTTTTACAACCCCCTAGTTGAATAATAATTATATTGACGATAAAAATAACTCATTATAAATTATATAAATATAACTGATATTGGTTAATAGTTTGTTCGTCGATGTCAGTAGGTGGAAATTATCGGTATTTCTAATTTTAGTTAGATTATTACTCTTCGTAAACATATTTATATTTTTTATATAAATATATATATATTTTTTAAGTATTTTATGGACACATCGAGCAGCTGAAACGCGTGAGTACGTTTTGTATTTCACTATACCGTTCTTTATTATTAATCACTAAAAGTGTTATAAATGACGATTCTGTCATTTAAATTAAAATAAAATGTATATTCAAAAAAATATTTAACATGCGGTCTTTGAACCTTGTTTATTTTTTACACGTGTTAAAAAAGTTACCTACAGCTTAATCCTAGTATCTAATACCTAATCAGCGTTGACATTCTTATGTCAACTGTATTCAGTAGAAACAAAACATATATATGTACCGATGTATCTGCATATAATGTAGATACTCTTCGATTTTTTTTTGTTATTCTTATCAGAAAATAAATCATTCATTAACGACGGTAAAAATTTAATATGATATTAATATATAAATATATAAATGATTAATTTAACTATTATTAAAATAATGCACCTACTTAATATAATTGACATAATTTTAAATCTTGATATCTGATAACTTACCTAATATATTCTGTTGAT